TTCTCTCATCAAAATCGAATTTGTAAACTTACTCAATTGGAAGAACAACTTTTGAACCCCTTTTGTTAGTTTCTTTTTTTTCAATTTTGTAATTTGTTATAAATTCATGTAGCATATGCATATTAATTGCATATAATTATTGATTTGTATATAATTACATAAAGCGTTGATTCGTAAATTAATATTTTTTTTGCATATAATTTATATTTTAAATATTGCAGTAACTTCCAATGATAATGATGCCGATGAAAATGATGAGTATAAAAAAATTAAGAAAGAGATCGATAAATTAAAACTTGAAGAAAGCAAATTCAGAGAGGAACGAGTTTGCATACCGAATCCCGAAGATATTTATCATAATGCTTGTTCTCTTGCAAAAAAATACAAATTAAGTAATGCTAATTAATTCTAATTTTTACACACTTTAGAAGAGTTAGTTAAAAGCAGACGAGATACAAACTAATCTGTATTAAGAAAATCCGTGAAAAAAGTGTGAAATTATATCTGAAAAAAATAGATAAAAGTATGAAAATACAATGTAAATTAGAACAAAATATAAAGAAAAACATATAAGCTGAAAAATATATTAATTGTTTTACATTATTATAAATCATCAAATGTGTTACAAGTTTCTTATACACGATATAAATATCGAATAAAGGATCTTGATGTCCTCGAAAAAAATTTTCTTTTGAGTTATTTCTGTTGATCCTTCTGTAAATGTCAATTTTTCATCTCTCCGTCAATGTAAAAAATGAGTACACAAATGCGTGTTTCTGACATATTTAGCTGCAACGATTTCTTTATAACAGCTGTTGAACACTGAACATTCTTTCCCATATCATATTTTAGACGCCTAGACAGATCATTCGTACCTTTTCAGCAATTTCCGGACGTCTGATGCCATTATATGTATAAAAACCCGTTGCGCTCATTGAATGATCAATGTACGTGTGCAGTGATTACATTATCACGATCGTGATAAATTAATCATTGCGGATAAATCATAGATACCCATTTCGTGAAAACTGATAAAAATTCGATTAACATACTGCATATACATATATTATTCATTTCGTTTAATCTAACCGAATACAAATAATTACACGCGAAACAAATAAAAGTTAATAAATAAAATCTTAAAAATGGCAACGCATGCAACAATTATATCGTGACAATCAATGCATAAAAATATATTAATTAATTAATTATGCAACGTATAAAAATTTAATATTTGATTAAACTTGCGCGAGACTACTCCACACATCCTTCACGCTGCGCGTTCCACGCGAGACTGATGCTCGTACGAGGTACCGCGAGCCCACACGAGAATCAGTTTCATGCGAGACGCGAGCCACGCAGAGTGACAGATATATGGGATAGTCTCGCGCGAGTCTAATGAAAGCGTAGATATTTAATCACAAAAGATCCCTGTAGAAAATATTACTTTTTGTTCGCATTTTCTGTTATTGAAATATATATTTATTTCAAATAATTGATTTATATATTGAATTTTTATGCCTTGCATAATTAATTTATATATTTTTATGCATAAGTTGCATATTTTGAGATTTTATTATCAAAGAATGATATAACTTTGCTTTGCGCGTATAATTATATATAATCGCCATAAGTAATAATACGTACAATAGAAATATATATATATACTATATATATACATATACATATATATATATATATATGTATTTTTACAAAATGTATATGATCAATGTATATACACATGCAATATTTAAAACATACTACATAAAAATTAACTACTTGTTTGTAATAAAAAAATTAGTTTTTTTGACAAAAGTTCTGAAAATATATTATTATAAAAATTTCTTATTGTTTAATATGTCAATACAATATATTTGCTCTTTCTCAATTCTTGTGTAAAAATTATAATAATTTTGACATATTAAGAAAATATTTTTGACAAAAAATACAGTTATATACCAGTCTATATATATATTCAATTCTTTGATTCTAATATCAAAATCGTAATCATATAATTATAGGTTTCTGAGAATTTAAATATATTTATATAATAATTTCTTTTTGAAATAAAAATATTTGCGTAAAATTTAAAATACAATTATAAGTAAAAATATTTACTAAAAATTGTCAGCTATATCTTCATCTATATTTATTATATTATTTAATTTGCAATTTAATAATTTACAGTACATGTTTCATGTATATATTTATAACAATTTCTCATTTTGTAATCCGAGCTATTCACATTAATCGTTTTTTTGTTTCAGATGCTGTTAGACATTCTGGAAATACTTGTAAATATGAAGAACTGGTATAATAAAAGTTTGATTTTGCTGCGTGAAATGGACATATTATACATCGAAAAATGATCGACGCAATATAAATACTATCAGGCTTGTATAATATAAAAAACAAATAAAAATTAGAAACAAGTCAAATATAAAGAACAATATAAAACTTGGCAATTTACCTGAATGTCCGCCACATAGTAAAGCTCAGTACTTAGCCAGAAGAAACTCGACATAGAAATAAAATAATTGAAGAAGGCTGAAAAATGAAAAAAAAAAAAGCTATAATAATAAACATTTTAATCACTGAACGCGTAAAATGAAGGAACTCAAAATACAAGGAAATTATTAAAAGATGATATTATGTTTAATATATCAGTTTATTGTTATTCGCCAAACCTTGTATTCCGTTCTTATTTCTAGATACCATGCCAAATATAAAATAAATGTAAAATATTTTTCCAAAACCGGTTTAGATTCGACTTACCTGATCATTTATATAATGACTGCTTATTTGATTAGAATATAAAAATAGCGATGAGTTAGAGATTGTTAATACTGATTAAATTCTTACTCTCGACTTTTGATAAAAAAATATTTATCATAAATCTTTATAAATAAATCTTTGTAAAAAATATTTATCATAAATTCTATTTATTTTTAATAAATAATTAAAACTAATCATTACTCAAATTTAAATTATTTTAGAAAAATAGTACAACGTAAACTGAATTACTGTAAACATAAAAAATCTAGGATTTAAATTTAAATAATAGTATAATAATCTTGTGGATAATGATTTTGAAGATTACAAAATTAATAATAAATTAATTATAATTAATTAATTATAATTAATTTAGCTACGTATAACGAGGTTTCACTTACACCATCTTTTCAGTCAATACGAAACGAAATCTATTATCGTATACAGTGTTCGAAATCTTTTAGATGCTATTCAGAATAGTGACCCTGACAATATGTATGTCAAGGTTAAGGTCAAAGTCACTGGCGGGGAGTAGGTTAAGGTGAATATTCCTTCTTAAAGATACATGTTGCAAAATTTTTAAGAGTCATTTATTTTTCATTGTCTATATAAAGAGAAAATAATGCCAATTTTATTGAGATAATTATCTATATAATTTTATTTAAATGATACCAAATCATGTAACTATACTGCACAGTATAAAATTTGCAGTTTTCTTGAAGTATCTACTCGAACGCGCGCATGACGAAGCCGAATTTTTTAAATACTCGATTTACAATATTTAGAACATGCATTTCAAAAAACGACGTCGAGCAAAAAGTTACGCCGAGATTATCAAAGCAGTTATTTAAAAAAAGGCTCCGTTCCAGAATTAGTCACGCTCAAAAGTTATATAGTTTTTTTTGCTCAGATTTTTTGCGTCACGTAACATTAATTTAGACATAATAGACTGTAATTTTTGTTTAATTTACTTCATTTACCCAAGCAAAAAGAATCATGCCGCAATAATCTTACGTCATTAAAATCATTTACTCTACGGAAAATTTTTAAATCGTCTTACGTCACTAAGATCATTTGTTAACGGAAAATTTTTAAATCGTCTACATATAATAAGAATTCATTATTTTTTGAATACCTAAACTTATAAATATATATAATTACATCAGGGATAACAAATTTTGATCGCAATACCGAACAGAATTATAACTTCGATCGAATTATCGATCAACACCATTGTCCATCGATTAAACGTGAGAATGCTTGAAATTGAACTTCGTACACACGTGCTTATTTTTTGTTTAGACTTCATTACCACCATCGACGACTCTACTATACTATTATCAAGAATCACGCTTCAACTGACGTTTTAGCTAAGACACTTCTGCATTTCATTGGCGTCTACTGGTCTGCCAAGTTGTGTGTTTACGATCGGGAGATAAATCTATTGATATACAATTCATCGATTTATCACCGATACATTAGAAAATCTATCACGGAAATATCGCATAGTTTTGACGATTGAGTAATTAATGTCATGGTAAGTAATAAAAGAATAAAATTATATAGATGATCTTGTAGATCAAATTTTGGCGTCATCTTATCTTCATGTAGATAATAAAAATATGTATTACTTATAATATATTTATCTGCATTTTGAATGAAAAAAAGTATTATCTTCACGAAATTATTTAGAATAATGGTCAGATAACTTAATCTAGAGTTATAGCACATAAAAATACTTAAAAGTAGCGTTTCTTAACGCATAGTGACTAAGATTCTTGCTAACTGTTAACGTCTATTTATTTCTTGCTTACTTCTGTCAATTCTACATTGTTCATTAAAACAATGGTAAATATTGTCGGTGGTATGCAGTGAATTTGATTTATTGTATTAATTTATTATGCATTTACGTTTGGCATGTAACATATTTTTGTATATAAATTTATAATTATTTGTTGCGATAAAATGTATTAAAATTATAATTATTTTTATTTAACTTTTTATAAATTTACTTGAAAAGGGCTGCAATGACAGCCAAAATGTTGTATTTTAATTAATTATTTATAATAAATGATTGCCAGTTTTGGTCGACTTTTACCATTGAGAAAAGATTTTGATTAATTATTACTGGCGAACCTTAAGGATTATTATCTGTTTCATAAGTAGAATTTAAACGCTAAACGATAAAAACTTATAAAAGTATGGATCTATTTTTATATTCCTTTTTACATATTTTTATAATTGTGTTTATAGCGGTCTTAAAAATAATATTATCTAGAAGTTATTTAGATAAATGGCCGTATAATTTTATCTTTTATATAGATACATTTAATACAAAATCATCTTTATCTTATCTATAATAAATTTACATATTTTTATGTCATCTTTATTTAACTAATTTTAAAATTATTCAAGCACAACATTGATAACAAGAGAGAGATTGATTAATTGACTGACTGTCTGATTTATCTTAATTGCATATAAGTCAAGCTTTTTACATAAAATAAAAAAATAATATTTCAATTATGGATTTCTTACAGAAGAAATTAAATGGTAATCAAGTAATATGCAAATTAAGCGTTTTCTATAAGGAAGCCATAATTGAAAAAACATCCTAATTAGCGAAATAATATAATGAGGAAGCAATATGTGCAAATTTCCATTTGCACAATTTTTTACATAAAATATTTTTGAAAAATGTTAAAATATATTTAAATATATTTTAAAAGTAAATTTTAAAATTTTGAAATATTCTGAATAAATTTTTATTTTAAAAAATAAATTTTTCACAATTTTATGAAAAACTATGTACATAAAATAAAAAAATTAATTTAAAAAAATAAATACATTTTAAAAAATTAATTTTTTGTCTGTAAAATGTAAAAAATACTTATTAGTGTGTTGGACAATGTATTATAAAACATTAGGTACAGTGAGAAATTATGAAATTAACGCATGTGCTATATGACTTGCTTTATCCTTTTCTAAAAGAAAACGTTTAATAAAATGTCAAAAAAAGAAAAACCGAATCTTTTAGAAAATAGCTAACCTGTTGATCGGACAAAGGAAAAAAAAACATGAATTAGGGATTAATTCAGATTAATAAAACATTATTATAAAACATCCGTTGACATTTTAATCGCAATGCAAATGCAGAGCAAATTTGAGAAAGCAAAAATTTATAAGCAGAAATTTCTACGTTGCCATTTATTAAACATAATTCTCAATCTACATATATTACAAAAATTTAAAATTTAAATTTAAATAATGACAATTTAAAATTAATTAACATAAAATGAGAATAGAATGATTAATGTGTATTTTGTGTGCTTGTAAACTGTATTTGTGTTTCTGCGGTCTTACAATGATTAAAATATCAATATATATTGCATCAATCTAATTATGAAATTGTTGCATAATGTTATCTAGATTTTTTACTTGCAAATGCTTGGCGATAATTGCGAATGCATAATTAATTAATGCGCTTAGTAATTGTTAACAATTTAAATTGAATGTTATACTTCATTCAGATATCGTTGTAGATATTTTTCTACAAAAATACATATACATTTGATTTCGAAAAGAAAACAGAAATTCAATCCAGCCTATTTTAATTTTATTTCTAGTCTACTTTAATTATTAGCCTTTTTCTATTTGCACGTTAATAAACATTTTTCAGTAATATATATATATATATATATACTTATATCCCGATAAGATAACATGACTGCTTTTTTACAGTTTATTAAATTGATCTCTATAATAGACGCGATGAGATTAGTCATATATCTTGCATTATTCTGCAATTTTTCGAATGCAGTAGAAGACGTAAAAAATCAGCTACATGTATTTGCCGAGAAAATATCGTGGATCAACTGGGAGCAATTGAGAGATTTTAAATTCAATCCCGATGACACTTTCGACACGGTAAACATACGTTTTTACTCATTATAAACTAATAACAAAATTGAAATTTTATTATTTGAATTGTAAAATATTAAAAATTAAAATTTGTATTATCTTTTTTCAACATTTTTTTTGTTTTTAAAAATCAATTTAGATCCGATTCAATTATTAGTATCGTTTATTTACTGTTAAATTACATATATCTTTTTATTTTAAAACATAATAAATATAATATATATAATATATATATACAAATTTTATTGTATAAATAGTATCTATTTTAAATTTAACGTATAAGACGGGCAACAAGAGCCAAACCGCGGATGACAATGCGTTATCCTAACGAAACTAAATAATTTTTCGTTAGAATTAAATACCGGTGCACAAGGCACCAAATTTTTACTTGGACACGGCCAAGATTTTAAATATGAAATAATCTCATATTTTGAGATTTAATTTCAATACCCCTTTAACCCCCCTACGGAAAATAAATAAATGAATGCAAGAGAAAATATAGATCCGAAAATCGCTGAATCGGGAATCGAACCCGAGACCTTTCGCTTGCCGGGCGACTGCTCTTCCAGCGAGCTATTCAGATCCTTCGATTCTATACTTTTCTCTGTTATATATATTAATGTTGGTAAACAAACGCATTTTTTAAGCCAGCGTGTATCAAATATAAGAGTTTTAACAAGGCTCTGTAATATAAATATAAATTTAACGTATAAGACGGGCAACAAGAGCCAAATCGCGGATGACAATGCGTTATCCTAACGAAACTAAATAATTTTTCGTTAGAATTAAATACCGGTGCACAAGGCACCAAATTTTACTTGGACACGGCCAAGATTTTAAATATGAAAACAATCTCATATTTTGAGATTTAATTTCAATACCCCTTTTAACCCCCCTACGGAAAATAAATAAATGAATGCAAGAAAAAATATAGATCCGAAAATCGCTGAATCGGGAATCGAACCCGAGACCTTTCGCTTGCCGGGCGACTGCTCTTCCAGCCGTAGGGGGGTTAAAAGGGGTATTGAAATTAAATCTCAAAATATGAGATTATTTCATATTTAAAATCTTGGCCGTGTCCAAGTAAAAATTTGGTGCCTTGTGCACCGGTATTTAATTCTAACAAAAAATTATTTAGTTTCGTTAGGATAACGCATTGTCATCCGCGATTTGGCTCTTGTTGCCCGTCTTATACGTTAAATTTATATTTATATTACAGAGCCTTGTTTAAAACTCTTATAGTATCTATTTTAGTCAGCTTAAAAATTTATGTAAAAATAAACATTTATTATAATCGTAACATAGTCATTAGATTCATTTCAACTAATTCAAAAGCTATAAACATAAAAAATAATTTAATTTATTAAAATTATTTCTTAAGAAATTTTATAATAAATAATATCAAATTTTTTTTACAATTTTATCAATCGAAGAAATCTCGCTTTACAATCTCTAATAATCACACATTATATGTGTTACATATGTAATCGTATAGCGCGCGCGAGCTGTAATAGCGCACGCGCGAGTTCGAGAAGCGTTGAGCGAGCGAGCGGAAGGTTGGGCGAGTGAAGAGCGCGAGAACGGAGCTCTCTCTCTTATATTACCAGCCTTGGAGCAAGGCACTCGTACAATAAGCGAAGTCGTGTAATTCTTCCTATGATCAATTTATATATATATATATATATATATATATTTATATCTGTTTGACGTAAAGTTAACGTGTGATATAACAAGAAAGAAACTGTGATTATTTATCAAGCCATCATTATCCATTTTCTGCCGAAACCGAGAATACACGACAATATGTTTAGTTAGAAAATAATACTTTTATTTGCCTTTATTCTGACCTTTTAACAAATCTTTATATTAAATAGATATTTATACGTAATTGCAAAATTATGCAAAATTATTATCAATGAATTCTGCATATTTAAATTGTTTGAGAAATTTGCTTTATTTATTTAAAATATAAATAGAATACGGAGTTTTTCGCATAAATTTATTTCAACTTTGCATTTATTTACTGATTCTGTAGGTAGAAATGATAAGAAGAGAGGGTTATCCTGCAGAAACTCATGTTGTAATGACGGAGGATGGTTATCTCTTGGTATTACATCGTATTCCAGGTAGTAATGACTCTCCACCTGTATTATTGCAACACGCTGTGTTATGCACCTCCGCCGACTGGATCATTCTTGGTAAAGGCAAAGCACTCGGTGTGTACAATTTTTTAATCAATCCTTCAAATATATTCCAAAATTATGATTTTGATATGCAAATTTAAATTCCAACGGGCTAGTAAGAGTCAATCAAGGATGATACTGCATCAGTTTAAAAAAAAATAATTTTTCACTCAAATTGATTTGTTATTCAGAAGGTATACATTTGTTTTGATGCAACATCAAATAATTAAATAAATCCCAATACAAAATTTATTTGTTTTTATAAATTATTTTAATAAATACCAATAAAAATTAATTTTTATTAAAACTGACATACTATCAACTATTTGACTTTTATTAACACGTAGAAATTTAATTTTAATTTTTTGTATCATATCTTTAACATTCTATATTATTTATTTACAATTGTTTATTTAACTTATCAGATAATATAATGATTGAACTGCAATTCAATTCGTAATTTTAATTTATAATTATTAAAAAATATTAACAATAAATATATGAATTTATATATGTAAGAGAATATTATATGAGAAGATACAAGTTATGTAATAAATTTTGCAAACGATGTTTTTTTGTATTCTAGCTTATCTATTAGCGGATCAGGGATATGATGTTTGGTTAGGCAATTTTCGTGGTAATACCTATTCAAGGGCGCATATTTCTCTGTCTCCGTTGGAATTAAAATTTTGGGATTTTAGGTACTAACATAAAATGAAAATAATGATGGTTTGAAAATAATAAATTTATACTGATGTTGCACATTTAATTTGCCAAACAAAATAGAAAGACATATAATATGCTTACTTATATAGCCTATAAAGTGTAATAAAAGTAAACATGTTTCACTTTTTTAAATCACTATTGTATATACCTATGTATATATGTATATATACTTAATTATTTTAAGTGACATTTATCCAGAAAGACTCTTTATACAATAAATATACAGAGTATATTCTCCCTATATAAGTATAAAGATGCAGACTGATACAATTGTCTTTTTGTCAAACATATAAAATATACTTCTTTAATATATATATATATATATATATATATATATATATATATCTAGTAATATTTTTTAAATATATTATATTTTTAATATAATTTATCAAATAATACGAAATAAAAGACCAAAGGATGAGCGTGAAATACGAGTGTTAAGTATATAATTTCTTTAAAGCGAATTGATGTAAATGGTCAAATCAATTTAATACATAGTATACATACTTTTCGATTACTAAGTCTTTCTCAGTATGAGTTAAATAATAAAATAAAAAACATAATTAAATTTGCAATAACATAAGCGCACATTCAATGATTTTATGTTAATATTATAGTGAATTCGTGTTGAGTGTCATCGAAATCGTAAAGTGAACAATATAATTATGCTTGAGATGTACTTTACTAGAAGTTTTCAACAGTATCAAAAAACAATTTCGTCGTGTGATAGCGAGAAGCTGAACTTTTTTGTTGTTAAAATCCTCCTAAAATCGTGGTGTAACTCTGAAGTTCACAAAACAAATATCTTTATTTAATTCACACTGAGAAAGACTTAGTAAGTCGAAACAATGTATACTATGTATTAAATTAATTTGACAATCTATATCAATTTGCTTTAAAAAAATTATACTTAACACCCGTATTTCACGCTCGTCTTTTGGTCTTTTTATTTCGTATTATTTGCATTGCAAACACACGAGCCTATTTACAATACTTGTATTATTTATAATTTATCAAATTTTAACACGAAGAATCAGCAAATCTATATTGGCAAAAACAAAGATATTTTGAAAATAATGTATCTTATTTGGAAATTTTGCCAAAAGGAGAAGAAATTTATTTTTAACAATAGATCAATTTATATAGTCTATCTATGTAAAATACTCTATCATACATATAAATTTCTATGTATTATTATTTATTATTTATATATATATATATATATATATATATATATTGTGGCAGTAAGATAATTAATATTTCACCAGCTTTCACGAAATGGGTATCTATGATTTACCCGCGATGATTAAATTTATCACAAATATGAAATCGCAACCATTGCACACGTACGTTGGTCATTCGATGGGTACAACCAGTTTTTATATAATGGCATCGGAGCGTCCGGAAATCGCACGAATGGTACAAAAAATGATCAATTTTGCGCCGGCAGTCTTTTTTGATCAAGTAGAAAGTCCGATAAAATATATTTTTCCTTTCTGGAGAGAATTGAAGGTAAAATAATGTATGCAAATACAAATTAGAAAATCATTTATTATTTATAGTTATTATTATTAAATAACGTATTATTATATTTATATATATAATAATACGTTATTATATATATACAGTGTGTTCGGCAACAGGTGGGCCAAAATGTAAGGAGTGGTTCTACATGATAAAATAAGACGAAAATCAAGAATGACAAAATTGCGTCCGAGACTTCGTTTATTAATTATAAATATTTTAAACTTCGCATTAAGGGCGCCTAACGTACGGCAATTTTCCGATATTTGGCGTGCGTAAGGTACATCGGTAGAGTCGCCGTCAAAATACACTGTGACGTATAAGTATACAAAAACTTACATCGTAACAGTTGATGTATATTTTGCAAAGTGTAAAATATTTATAATTAATAAACGAAGTCTCGAACGCAATTTTGTCATTCTTGATTTTCGTCTTATTTTATCATGTAGAATCACTCCTTACATTTTGGCCCACCTGTTACCGAACACCCTGTATATATATATATATAATAACTGTTCAAAACAATATCCCTTTGTCGAAACAAAAAATTCATAAACGACTGTTTAATAGGGATCTAATGTTTTGTAATTATGAAATATGAATAAGAGATATCATGATAAAAATGTGCTTAAAATCATAATTTAAGAAACATATTTTTTATAATAATCAAATATGTCAAGACCGCCAGAAGAATTAAAAATAAAAAAATAATACACAATCTCTTCTCGACCGTACTGGCAAATAATTTATTGATACTAATCACTACGTTTCGACCATAGTTTTTGGTCCTTTTCAAGTGAATTGCGAACAATAATTATATCCTGAGATGTCAAAGAGAGAACATAGTGTCGAATTTAACACATGTCTAGTACATTGAAAGTTAGTTTAAATCAGTTAGTATAAATCTGTTCAATGTACTAGACGTGTGTTAAATTCGACACTATGTTCTCTCTTTGACATCTCAGGAATATAATTATTGTTCGCAATTCACTTGAAAAGGACCAAAAACTATAGTCGCAACGTGTAGTGATTAGTATCAATAAATTATTTGTCAGTACAGTCGAAAAGAGATTGTGTATTATTTTATATTTTTTATATTTCTACGATTTAAAAAAAAATTTACTTTTCAAATTTCAAAATTAATATACAATAAGATAACATTTTCAATACATAGCTACATATATACTTATATTTATTTATATATGATTATGAGCAATTTATATATGAGCAATTTTTTTATTTCTTAAAGTTTTACTTTTTCTATTAAAAAAATGCAAAAATTTTTCTGAATTACTTTTTAATTATCATGAATTAGAAGTACATATATATGTATTATATCACGAAAAAGAATTTTTTATTACAGATGTTCATACGGTTATTCTTTCACGATGAATTTTGCCGCAAAACGATTTGTTGAGATTTGCTTCGAAATATATTTGCCCTCAGAATTTTATCACGCAACAGTTCTGTGCCAATCCAATATTTCTGATATGCGGGAATGATCAAGAACAATTCAACTACGTGAGTAATGATTTCTTCATTGAAATACAACTCCGAGTTGAATCTTCGATCGTGGCATTTTATTATTTTAAATACAATTTTGCTTCAAATTTAACTTTGTCTATATGAATATAAATTTAACGTATAAGACGGGCAACAAGAGCCAAATCGCGGATGACAATGCGTTATCCTAACGAAACTAAATAATTTTTCGTTAGAATTAAATACCGGTGCACAAGGCACCAAATTTTTACTTGGACACGGCCAAGATTTTAAATATGAAATAATCTCATATTTTGAGATTTAATTTCAATACCCCTTTAACCCCCCTACGGAAAATAAATAAATGAATGCAAGAGAAAAATAGATCCGAAAATCGCTGAATCGGGAATCGAACCCGAGACCTTTCGCTTGCCGGGCGACTGCTCTTCCAGCTGAGCTATTCAGATCCTTTCGATTCTATACTTTTCTCTGTTATATATATTAATGTTGGTAAACAAACGCATTTTTTAAGCCAGCGTGTATCAAATATAAGAGTTTTAACAAGGCTCTGTAATATAAATATAAATTTAACGTATAAGACGGGCAACAAGAGCCAAATCGCGGATGACAATGCGTTATCCTAACGAAACTAAATAATTTTTCGTTAGAATTAAATACCGGTGCACAAGGCACCAAATTTTTACTTGGACACGGCCAAGATTTTAAATATGAAATAATCTCATATTTTGAGATTTAATTTCAATACCCCTTTAACCCCCCTACGGAAAATAAATAAATGAATGCAAGAGAAAAATATAGATCCGAAAATCGCTGAATCGGGAATCGAACCCGAGACCTTTCGCTTGCCGGGCGACTGCTCTTCCAGCTGAGCTATTCAGATCCTTTCGATTCTATACTTTTCTCTGTTATATATATTAATGTTGGTAAACAAACGCATTTTTTAAGCCAGCGTGTATCAAATATAAGAGTTTTAACAAGGCTCTGTAATATAAATATAAATTTAACGTATAAGACGGGCAACAAGAGCCAAATCGCGGATGACAATGCGTTATCCTAACGAAACTAAATAATTTTTCGTTAGAATTAAATACCGGTGCACAAGGCACCAAATTTTTACTTGGACACGGCCAAGATTTTAAATATGAAATAATCTCATATTTTGAGATTTAATTTCAATACCCCTTTAACCCCCCTACGGAAAATAAATAAATGAATGCAAGAGAAAAAAATAGATCCGAAAATCGCTGAATCGGGAATCGAACCCGAGACCTTTCGCTTGCCGGGCGACTGCTCTTCCAGCTGAGCTATTCAGATCCTTTCGATTCTATACTTTTCTCTGTTATATATATTAATGTTGGTAAACAAACGCATTTTTTAAGCCAGCGTGTATCAAATATAAGAGTTTTAACAAGGCTCTGTAATATAAATATAAATTTAACGTATAAGACGGGCAACAAGAGCCAAATCGCGGATGACAATGCGTTATCCTAACGAAACTAAATAATTTTTCGTTAGAATTAAATACCGGTGCACAAGGCACCAAATTTTTACTTGGACACGGCCAAGATTTTAAATATGAAATAATCTCATATTTTGAGATTTAATTTCAATACCCTTTAACCCCCCTACGGAAAATAAATAAATGAATGCAAGAGAAAAATATAGATCCGAAAATCGCTGAATCGGGAATCGAACCCGAGACCTTTCGCTTGCCGGGCGACTGCTCTTCCAGCTGAGCTATTCAGATCCTTTCGATTCTATACTTTTCTCTGTTATATATATTAATGTTGGTAAACAAACGCATTTTTTAAGCCAGCGTGTATCAAATATAAGAGTTTTAACAAGGCTCTGTAATATAAATATAAATTTAACGTATAAGACGGGCAACAAGAGCCAAATCGCGGATGACAATGCGTTATCCTAACGAAACTAAATAATTTTGTTAGAATTAAATACCGGTGCAACAAGCACCAAATTTTTAATTGGACACGGCCAAGATTTTAAATATGAAATAATCTCATATTTTGAGATTTAATTTCAATAACCTTTAAACCCCCCTACGGAAAATAAATAAATGAATGCAAGAGAAAAATATAGATCCGAAAATCGCTGAATCGGGAAAATATATTTACAATGAATTGAAACCATTAAAATAGTTCAACAAAGTAAGAACCCAATTAGAAGCAGAATGATTCGTCCGGTTATTCATAAAATATTTTAGAATTATTAATAAAAACTTCGAGTGACACTTATACATTACTCCAAACGAACCACTTATCGTTATTTGACGAAAGTCCCTCGATCTGGCAATGATTATGTCCATCCTCTCCAAATTATTTGATATTTGTTAACTGAATTTAAAGAATTTATTCAATTGTAAAATAGGATTCCACTAATGTGTATGTGAAAAAAGATTAAAAATTACAAATTAAACTAAATACTAAAATATTGAACCTTTATGCTTACAAATTGTTCCGAATAACTTGAGATGACGATGCTTCTAATTGTTGTTGGCCTTATTGTTAGTACTTGACTGTTGTCTAGTCTTTTAAAAAGTCGAATAAATAGGTGTCAGATCTCACAAAATAAACATTTACATAAGTCTAAAAATTCGATATTTCTTCTAGAATGTCGAAATACGCGTTGTTAAGCAATTCGGTGTCTGTGTTATTATTTATACCATGCCTTTGTTCCTTGATGTGTATCATTTCCGAGATAAGTCTTTTATAATAATTAGATTCAATATCAAGTATTTTAACGTTATCCCAATCAAAAGCATGTTTTTTATTTATAATATGTTCAGAGACCACAGAATGCTTGGAGGAATCAAATTTAATATTATTCATATGCTCTTTTAGTCTAGTGCGTAATTTTCTTTTGGTTTGCCCAACATACGAAGCTTCACAATCCTTACAATTAATTTTGTAGACAACATTATTATTATTGTTATGCACGTTTTTGTCCTTGTGGACTTTAATTAATTTGTTAAGATTATTTAGACAACGGTATCCTACTCTGAAATCTGATTTTTTTATTGTCGATGCTATTGTCTCAGAAATGTTATTAATGTATGGAATGACGAAAAATTTTTTCTTGCTATTATCTTCTGCAATTTCTTTTTTTCTATTGTTGTTAAACTGACCATTGTTTAAAACTCTTATTCTCTTATTTATTTCTTTAAAGATTAAATGAATAGGGTAACCGTTGTCCAATAATATTTTAATACACAGTTCTAAATTTTTCTTATGATATATGGGATGAGATAATAACAATGCCCTATTAATAAGATTATAAATTACTCCTATTTTATGGCACATAGGGTGACTCGATAAAAAAGATAGTACTCTACCTGAACATGTCTTTTTTTGAAACCAATCTAAGTGTATGACGTTATTATTATTTTAATGTTTAAATCTAGAAAATTTATGCTTCTATTAATTTCGTATTCAATCGTAAATTGTAGTCGTTGATTGTAACTATTAAACTTATTCAGT